AATCATCATCAATGGTACCGTGGTGGCAGAACTGGCTACCAATTTAATTTCTCCATCTGCATATTTCCTATTGTCATCGCCATTGATTTCATCTTCAGACTTTTTGAGCATAGAGTTTCGTCGCCAACACGGCCCTTCCCTCCAGCTCTCGAGTACGCAAAGTTCACTTCCTTAATCCACGAGCTGAAAGACACGCTAATAAATTAATCTCTTAATTTGCCAGCAGACTTTCAGCGTCGGAGAGCGGCTGCATGTGGGAAAAATTGAATTATAGTTGATGGGCAACGACTAGGCAAATTTGATGATGTTCAAGGTGGAGAGGAGAGCGATCGTCAATTTGACGAGTGAAATGTTATCGGGTTGGATAAATAATGTGGAAAGAAACAACAACAAAAAAGGTAAAAGAGGAGTAATGTCACCCGAGATCTTGTAATTTTTGGGTGTTTAATTCAGGATTAGAAGAAATTAGGTATGGTATTATAAAGAGATGCGAAAAAATTATTTATTGGGACAAAACAGCACGTCTATAAATTTAAGTGGCCCAATGAGTCATCTTTGAATTGAAATTAATAAATCATTTAATTATTATTAATAATAGTCGTTAGATTAGATCACCGGTTTAAAAAACTTGGAGCATACTATGCGCATGGGGCATAAGAGTCTGACCCATATATATATAAATATCAAGGTGTTAGTTCTACGGTACCTAGGGTGAAATTCAGGATACCTCATACCTTGAGTCTGAAAACATTATCCAAACCTTGAATCGACTAATCTTTCGGACATGATACTATACTCCAATCCTTAGAGATCAAAATCTAGGTTTTAATTCTCTAAATCTTATATCTCGAGATCAATTTAATTAGAAACAATGATCGACGGTTATGATTCATCAAAATATAGGCAAAAAAATGAATGCATCATCTTAGGGTTTATACTTTATGATTAAAGTAATTACGACCTAGGATTCACTCATTAAGGGTTAGGCTATATTATCCGCTCAAAAAATCCTGCTAATTTGAGGTCTAGATAGCGTTTTCATACTCAAGGTATGCGGTACTCCATATCTCACCCGAGGTGCCGTAGAAGCCTCCTCAAGAGATACTATACTTTTGATATTACTCAAGATACGATAGAAGATAGGTAAGACGAAGTATGTGCATAAATTAGAGGTTAGAGAATTAAGGACTGGAGTTCACCTATTAGATGTTAGGGTATAGTATCAAGTCCCAAAAAACTCTGGTTAATTCGGGGTCTAAAAAGTAAAAATCAATGGTTGTATGGTAGCGTACTCCTAGCGCACGCTAGCTTGAACTATATATATGTGTGTGCGGTTCTGGTTGGCGTAAGCTAAATATTAGTATTTTGGCTGAAATTTTTTGACATAAGTTCTAAATGGGACGTGACAGTGACACATTTATGATTAGAAAACTGAAACATCAAAAGTCAGTGTGCTAAATATTGAAAATTTTCAATATAGACATACTACAAACTCTGCTACGAATGAAGAACAAAAAATATTTAGAAAATCCAAAAATGATTTAAACATATAAAGAAGTTAATTAATATAAATTATAAAATAAATCTCTTCGGCCAACGGGCCGGATAAAAAGCTAGTTTCTATTTATGTGATTGACCCGGACAAAATGGGGTGTTTAGAGTTAGAAGTGTCAATTGGGCGGGTTGGGTCGGGATCGATTGGGTCCAACCGGGTTGGGTTCAATCGGGTTGCGAGTTTAATCGGGTCAGTTTCAATTTGGATCGGGTTTAATTGGGTTGCAGGTCAATTGGGTTATGAGTCAATTAGGGCACTGGTCAATTGGGTTACGGATCGGGTCGGGTTACGGGTGCATCAAATTACGGGTTTATTGAATTCCGGGTTAATTTGGGTTTGGTCAGGTCGGATTATGGGTTATTCGGGTCAACCCATTGGATCATTTACTTCTTAACAGAAAATAATGTTTTACAAACTATCAATATATGAATATAAATTGTAGGTAATGATACAAAATTTAAGAAAATGATAATATGATAATATTTTTCACATACAAATTAAATATCCATTATGTTAGTATAAAAACTAAATATAAATAAAATAGTGTATATAAAATCTTTGTTGTTGGTTATAATTTTTTTGTTTATGGTGAGAGATTGTAAGTTCATTTATTTTATTAATTTATAAAAAATTGAATTAGTAAAAATTTGAGAATGAAGTAAAAAGGTAGACTATATGCTTATACATATCGAAATGAATCGTCTTAATTAAATATAGTATGAACTAGATGTGTGTCTCTTCATTTCCACGAAGACTTATGAACATCATTCCGAATCACCCACTTATATATCTTCACAATTTTTTTATATTCACGGTAACATCTCATCCTAAAACTCATGGGCCGAACAACGGTTCGCTCAAATATGATATTATCATCTAGTTCGAATCATCGATTTATTAATTTATAAAAAATAAATAAAATAAGTAAAAAGTTGAGAATGAAGTAAAAAGGATAAACTATCCACTTATATATCTTGATAGGGATCATTGATTTTGGGGATTTCATTGATTTTCAAGGGTTGATTTTTTTAATATAGTTATGGGTGGTGGAGATACGAATTTGTGTCTAACTCTTCCTATTATCTTCAAAAATTTATCCTTTGAATTTGATAAAATAAAAAATGAATGAAAAGATATTTCACATATTATTATTTTAAAAATTAAATATTTAAGAAAAAACCTCAATTTATACAATCAATTCTACAAATAATTTTCAATTATTATGAGAACAACAGTTCTTTCTTAATAAATTTAAAAATATAATAATGTATACATTGAATTTTTATACAAGCATTCTGGTCAAATGGGTTATTCGGGTTATTCGAGTTGGGTTCAGTTCGGTTACTGGTTATTTGAGTTATGAATCATTAGGGTTATAGATGGGCTGGGTTATGGGTTGGATCGGATAACGAGTTCATCGAGTTATGGGTTGATCTGATTACGGGTCAATTGATTTCGGGTTACGGACGGGCTTTGGGTGGTTGACTTTTTATCAAATCAGGTTACGGACAGGTTATAGATTGTGTGGGTTGGACGGGTTAGTCGGGTCGGGTTCAATTTTCACAGCTCTATTTAGAGGAGTACTTCTACTATGCTATATAGTATTGGTGCTTTAATGTACAACTTAAAGTTGTACCAGAATATTAAATGTATAAGTTTAGGCTGTACCATAAAGCAATTTGTACCATTATGTTATGGTACAACTTTACAACTTGAAGTTGTACCATCACATAAAGGTACAAGTTCAAGTTGTACCATAAAAGAATTTGTACAAAAAGTATAGATACAATCTAAAGTTGTACCATAACGTAAATGTACAATTTTAAGTTGTACCATAAAGGCAAAATCCTATAGCACCAATACTATATAGCATTGTAAAATTTCTCCTATTTAGAGTGGGCATCCTATATTCCTATTTATTTCTACGCCTGTCGGTGGGGGATCCCATTTCGATGTTTGGGTGTAATTATAAATGAGGGACAATGCCACTACACTGAATCGATGAAGCATTTAAGTGCCGGTATTATGGCCATTATATGGACAGCTATAAGAGAAATTTAATTATCTATTTATACTGGTCCTGGTCCAGTAGAGAAAATGGAAAACAGTGAAAAAGGAGAAAAGTTGTTATTATTTTACCAGCATATTTCTATCCTTAAGGAAAAAATGATGCGAGAATTTAGTAAATATTTAAAATGTTGTCCAAATTTTATTTTCTAACATTGGGAGTATTTTGGAAAATGTGGAAGTGAGAAATATTATAAACAAAAGATGATGCAAATTATTTGTTAATAAATCACAAAGTTTTATTATTATTCAAGAGAATACTACCATGATAACTCATTAATGACGAGAAATGAAGACTGGAAAACATATTCATTAACTAAGGTGACTAGAGCCCAAGACTGGCTTGTTAAGAGTGGTTCATCCATACCGATAAGGGAATAGAGCCATAGACTGACTTTCGAAACACTCTCATCTATCCGTTCGGTATGCATGAACTCTCTAATCCACCAAGGGAGATATGTCAGAATCTTCGGGATGATGCGAGGGGTATTTCGCTTGAGCGCCAAGTTTTGGTGCCTTCTAGTCTGCAATCTTTCCCTCCTGTTTTTCTTAGCTGAGGCCTCCATGAATGCAAAAAAAAAAAAAAAAAATACCGTGACTAGAATAATACAGTTATTTAAACAAACTTTTTTCGTAACTTTTGAACTTCTTAGCACAGAAAAGTTTCCAATAAATAGAATCCCGTGACTATAAATCAGTTTTCTTGAGTAAGCCTAACTTTTCATCCTTAAATAAGACTCCAAACATACTAATTCCAAGATGTTAATATATAAACTTAGATTGATTTAGGATTTAAAAGTTCCCACCACAAAGTATGAAAATCTCAGTGCTGATTGATGTCATCTGGCGGTGACACATTGCAGAACCTAACCATTTGGGGAAGGAAAGAGGCCAGAAACAATAGCTAGAGACGAAAAATCCTTGGTCACAAACAATTAATGTCAACGTCATGGAAACTAAAGGTCGCCATCGTTTCTGGTTGTAATTCCTATTTTTGGGTAGAGGTCCCCTATATTTTTACGAAACAAATTCCTTTAATAAATTGGTAAATTAGAACAAACTTGAATCAGACTATACGATCAAAAATTACAATTCATAATATCAAGTGAACGAGTTAGGAGTCGTTTCAAATGAATGAAGTTAAAAAAAAAAAATTAATAATTTGATCATCTAACAATAATTAATAGCACCAATGCTCATAAGCTTGCATCTTGGAGGACAACAAGTCGGGAGACAATTTATTAGGCAAGAACAAACCTCCGCCCAATTGATACAATTCCGTCTACGAAATATCCGTCTAGAGTTTATCCACTTGGGCACTTCCTTTATCCATCTGCCTATGTATATATATATATATCCCAACACACAATCTTAATTATCATCGTCCCAAGCCAACCTCATAGAGAACACAAACCCAACCACAACAGCTAGCCATGAGTCCTCCGGCCGCCACCTTCGCCGGCTGCCAAACCCGGCACGCCGTCTGCATCCCTTACCCAGCCCAGGGCCACATAAACCCCATGCTCCAGCTAGCCAAACTCCTATACTCCCACGGCTTCCACATCACCTTCGTCAACACCGAGTACAACCACCGCCGCCTCCTCAAATCCCGGGGTGGCGGCGCCTCCTTCTTCGACTCTCTCCCGCCGGGCTTCAACTTCCAGGCAATCCCCGACGGCCTCCCCACTCCGCCGACAACCGATGCCACCCAGGACATCGCTCTGCTGAGCGACTCCACCTCCAAAATCTGCTTGGCTCCATTCCGCGACCTCGTTTTGAAGCTAAACGACGCCGCTTCCTCATCCTCACCAGCCGTTAGCTGTATCGTGGCGGATGGCGCGATGACTTTCACTCTGGAAGTAGCCAAGGAGCTGGGGATTCCGAACGCGCTTTTCTGGACTCCGAGCGCGTGTGGAGTTTTGGCCTACGCTAATTATCACCTTCTTGTCCAACGAGGCTTCTTCCCTCTCAAAGGTACAATTAATTAAGAACAACAATTTACCGGTCTTCATACACAAAAAAAAAAAAAAAAAAAAAAAAATTAAGTGAATTTCTTATGGCCTTTTTTTTATTAAAATTTGGTTTGCAGATTCGAGTTACTTGACCAACGGATACTTGGAAACGCCTATAAACTTCATCACAGGAATGAGTAACAACATCCGCTTGAAAGACCTCCCGTCTTTCCTCAGAACTACGAACCCGAACGACATCATGTTCAATTTCGTCCAAAGGGAGATCTCGAAGCTGCCCGAGGCAACCGCTTTCCTCATCAACACATTCGAACCCTTAGAGAAAGATGTCATTTCAGCCCTCTCCCGACTTTCCCCGAATCTCCTCACCATCGGCCCACTCAACTTACTCCTCCATCGAGTCGTCGGAGACGAACTAAGGAACGTCAGCACAAACCTGTGGACGGAGCATCCGAAGTGTGTCGAATGGCTCGATTCCCAGCAACCCAACTCCGTTCTCTACGTGAACTTCGGGAGCATTACCGTGATGAATCCCGACCAGTTGAACGAGTTCGCATGGGGCCTGGCGAACAGTGAGGTATCTTTCTTGTGGGTCGTCAGGCCGGACCTTGTGTCCGGTGAATCAGCAGCTCTGCCTCCTGAGTTCGTCGACGAAACAAAGGGCAGAGGGTTATTAGTGGGGTGGTGCTCACAAGAACGTGTTCTAGACCATCCTGCGATTGGAGGGTTTTTGAGCCATATGGGTTGGAACTCTACGATGGAGAGCTTGTCGCATGGTGTGCCGATGATTTGCTGGCCTTTCTTCGCGGACCAGCAAACGAATTGCTTCTACGCTTGTAACGAGTGGGGAGTTGGGATGGAGATTGACCCAAACGTGAAAAGGGATCAAGTGGAGGAGCTGGTGAGAGAGGTGATGGGCGGGGGAAAGGGGAAAGAAATGAAGAGGAGAGCTATGGAGTGGAAAAACAAGGCGATTGAATCCACTGTCCCAGCTGGTTCCTCCTATCAAAATGTGGAAAGATTGATTGACTTGTTGTCTTAGAAAAAAATGACAAGTAAGATTTAAGGAAATAAAAAAAAAAAGCTCTCATGTTCAGGTTTTACGTTTGTTGCGTGTCTTGTTTGACTTCTCGTATCACTTAAAGTTTAATAACACTGCTTATCTCATGACAAAAAAAAATCTCTCTCATTATTGGGTCGTTAGTTGGTTGACCAACAAGTCTTCTTCATAATTCGCAAACGGATCATGTCAGTAATCTTATAGTCAGTAACCATGAGTAACATGTCTACATCACCATGACATCAGTATCCTCTATTTCCTGGAAAGTTTTTTTATCTATTCCCCTTAAATATTTAACGGACGATTACTCTCTCGTTTTAAGTCGAAATTTAAATTTTTTTGCACAGATAAATCAGATTAAATGTACTCTTTAAAATGATATCCACTTTGATATATTTTTAGTACAAAAAGAAGTGAATAATTTTTTACCAGTCATTACCATATGGTATGCTCCTATTTAATACCATATGGTAAGAAAGCGTACTATGATGGTATGAACATACCAATATGGTAAGAAGGTTGAATACATTTTAGTAGGAGTATACTAACTGTCATTTATGACTTTCATCATTGTTTACTACAAGTTACCAGCCACATACCATAGTGGTAAAGTATGGTAATTTTTTATCCAGTATTTTTTCACCCAGAAATTTAATTTATAGATCCAGTAGATCATGATGAACTCGTTTCTTCTGAGCAAACTTTTTCAAAAATGAATTAAAAATGAAGAAGTTACCATATGGTATGTAGTTGGTAAAAAAAAGTTTCTCAAAATATATTGAAAATTGATCTCATTTTGTAGAGCACAACGAACTCGTTCCATCTGTGCCTTGTAATTTTGCTTGGAAATATCTTGTATTTATTGCGGTATCTTTTTGTTTCCCTTCTAGGATATCTCTAGCAAAAAGGAGATTAATTAACGAAATAAAAGCACTTTTTCCTTTGATGAAATAAATTAATTACTAATTTAAAAATTAATTTAAAATCACTGAAAAGGAAAATAATAGATTTAGGAGCTTATCTACTATACTCTAAAGTATCGGACACAAGTTGAACTTGTATTATAATGTTAAATGAGCAAGTTCATTTTGTAATATAAAAGAATTTATATGAAAATGTGTAGGTACAAACTAAACTTGTATCGTAAAGTTCAAGGTAAAAGTGCACTTTGTACCATAAAAATATTTATACGAAAAAACCTATATGTAAAAATTAAATTGGTATCATAATGTTGAAGATATAATTACATTTTTTTACCATAAAAGAACTTCTAGAAAAAAGTGTAGTACAAACTGAACTTTGTACCATAACATCAAAAATAAATGTTACATAAAATAGAGACACTTCATCCAGTCATTTCTAAGCATCAGGAATGATATAATTCATTGGGCTAATAAGCTAATGGCACAGTACTCAGTTAAAACCGTTTGGAACACTCTTAGAGCTAAGACTACTTCTGTGTTTGGTAAAAACTCGTATGTTGCAAGGTAACTAGTGCAATATGTGTGTTGTGTGTTACTTTTTTGTAAGTGGATTTTCATTATGAGTGCAACGGGCAAGGCCCTAAGGAAAAGATACAACAATAAACAACAAAGGCTGAAAAATTAGTAGATAACTAGGCCCAAACCAAGCTGGAAACTCAATAGAGCCCTAAGCCCAGGAACCAAAAATATCTCCTCTAATCCTCCAACCTTACCCGACATTGCTCCCCTCTAAGATCCCTGCGGTGGCCTAAATTGTCGCCGGCCAAACTCAGATGGTAGAGAGAATTATAAAGATCTCCAAACGCACAACCCTGACCCAAACAAACCGTCCGCCTCCAACCGAGCACAACCTATGGGGAAATCAAACAAACTCAATCGGTCGCCAGCGGAGGAAACATAGGGGAGACGATCTTCTGTCTTCAGGCTCTCCAAAACTGCATCCGTTGCCATAGGGTTCATCTCTGATTCACCAAGATATGCAAGGTGAGAATAGGAGGTAGACTATGAAAAAAGTAAGGAGAAGACAAGCCAGATCTAGAGCAGATCTAGTATCCTTGTCTCTTAGAAAGGACATGCATCTCCAGTTCTAAAACAACAGAACAAAGGATAAAAAATCAACCCAATCGAAAGGGAAGCGCAGAACCCACAAAGGGAAAACCAAACAAGCAGAGAAAGAATGTCAAAGAGTGGCCGGAAAAACTAAGAGAAAATAAAAAAGAGCTGGAAACTTAAAACACAAAAAGAAAAAGCAGGAGGGGTGGCGGAGAGCTGTCGTCGATCGTCGGAGAGGCGCCAGCGGCAGCTCCTCTATAGCCTGAAAAGGCGGATTTGTTAGAAAGAGGTCGAGAAAAAATTTGAAAAGAAGAAGAGAGAGGATAGAGTGGGTAAGTGGACTAATTAGCAGGTAGTAAAGCAAAGCAGAAAAGAACGCTTTGATTGAATACGAGTTGTTTACAGAAAATGAAAAAAAAAAAAAATGTTCTTTCGGTGCCCTTATTCTACAAAACTGCTAGCAAGTTTTAGCTGCTCATTGATGTTTAGAACATTGTCCTAGGCTGAAACTCTCGAGGTTGCTTGCATTATAATGAGAAAAGGTAATAGGTAGCGTATTGTCAAAGTTAATCTGCAATCATGAGAAAATTCTAGAAGAGACGCACTCACGCACATGAGCAAATGGAAGGAGAAATTTCCACCAGCCAACAACCTTCAATAATTAAAATAATGAAATTAAACCCCAATGATAATCGGCTTTAATATATCGGATTTGTGAGTTTTATGTGACTATCTCATGGTATGTGTAAGCCGATTGGTGCTAGTTTAGGGAGAATTCATCCGTAATGGTTGAAAAGCCATTACCATTTTGTGTTGGTGTTTTGATGTGTGTTTAGGTGAAAAGATAAAATGGCAGCACTGGAACTTCCGAAGCAGGAGATGGCGGGTGGAATTGGATCTATGTTTCTTCCACAACAAGTAATTGGGCCAAGCCCAATTGATGGAGGCAATTAACTGTTTGGGCCGAGAGAATGGATTGGACCGAGGGACACATAATTCTCTTGAGGGATTATTGCTTGGGACGGAACCAAATTGGGCCTGAGGAAAAATCTCTTTTGGAATAGGGAAAGCAGCTGGCGATTGGGGGAGGCAATTAATTGGTGGCTTTTGTTGTTTGAAAACAAGTCTCTGGGGGAGAAGAATAAGAATTAAAGCAAAAGGGGGAACAAGTCGGAGGGCGGACAGGGGAATTGAAAAAAAGAAAAAAGAAAGGCGGAACTCAACTGGGGACAACTTCTTGGATTGGCGGCGGAATTCTTTTGGAGGAAGCAGCAGCGAGCAGCAGCGAACATCAGTAGCAGCGACGATTAGCGGGAGAAAATTAGAGACTGAGCGTTCTTGCACAATTCGTATTTTCTGCCCTCATCGTTATTCGTAACATGATGATTATGAACATGATTGTTTGTTTTATTTTCGTCATGAACTAAACCCCAATTTCTGGGGGAAACACCATAGGATGTAGCTATTTCTTGATTTGATGGATTGATTCATGATTCTTTTCTTCCAATCTCTATTGCATGAAATTGCTTAATGCTTTGTGTTGACTGGCCACCAATACAAAAATTTGTAGTTAATTAGGTTATTAGCGACAGTGAAACCCTAATAACTGAACCTATTTCATGTGACATAGTAACTTATCGAAGCGACAGTGGATTAAATAAGGTGCTATGCGGTCTTAAATAGGATATCGATCTTCAGACTATATAGTTAATTCATTGAGCTACGACAGTAGGATTTGAATTGATTATTTAGTACGTAGTAATTCCCGACAGGGATAGCTAGCACATTCGTGATATCCTGGCTGTAGAGGTGTGGATTAAATTGATTGGAATATGTGAATTAATCTGGATAGGATAGGTAGTGAATCCCGGTGTTTCTCCCAGAGCTTTCTCCATTGAATTTCTCCTGACCATTTGAATTTGCTTGTTTTGTTTAATTATTTTGCTATTAGATAATAATTTCATCAACCAAACCATTTTCACTTATAGTTTGCTCCATAGAATTGATAGAAATTAAGGTTGTACCAGTCCCTGAGAGACGATACCCGGACTTTCCGGTTTACTACGAGATAGGAATTGAAGCTATACGCTTTTGCCCTATCAAGTTTTTGGCGCCGTTGTCGGGGACTGCCATACCTTATTTTTTTGATTTTTGTGAGTGAACTATTTTGATTTGGGTGTTAGTGTGTAGGTGAATTTTTCAGGTTTATCCTCCTCGTGCATGCCAAGGAGGACGACTAGCAATTTACTGCCACTAGATCCCGAGATCGAGAGGACCTGCCGACAGAACAGGAAGCAGGTCAAGTTAGGGAAGCAGCCAACCACAACTCCTAGGCCTTCCCTAACCCATAGTCGTCGACAGAGAGGACAGGCTTCATCACCTGTCATCCCTACACCACCGACACCAACACCTCGCATTATCGAGCCTGTCATCATGGCAGAACAGGATCGTTCGATGAGGGTTTGCTTGAATCGAAGGACTGGAGCCCGAGCTTCATGTGTTGTCATTCCGGATGGGGATGCAACCATGGAGATTACCCCAGCATTCATCAATATGATCACCAATGGGTATACTTTCTCTGGGGCTAGCAGTGAGGATCCTCACGAGCATCTTTGCCGATTTGCGAGCATATGTGATACGATGAAGAGCCCAACTGTGTCCGATGATGCAATTCGTCTTCGGATGTTCTCATTCTCTCTGATAGGGAATGCATCACACTGGTTTCAGAACTTAACACCACGTTCTATCACGACATGGGCTCAGCTTGAGAAGGTCTTTCTGGATAAATACTTCCCACCTGCCTTGGCAATGAAGAGGCAAGAAGAGATTGTTACTTTTAAGCAGGCTGATGATGAGAGTCTGACTGAGGCATGGGACCGCTATAAGGGGCTATTGATGAGATGCCCAAGCCATGGTCTTGAAGATTGGAACGTGATCATTATTTTCTTCAATGGAATCAGAAGAGAGTTCCGGGATACCCTGAATAATGCTTCTCGAAATGGTTTCACAAGCATGGAGGCACCAGCAACATATGATCTGGTAGAGAAGATCTGTTCAGAAGCCACTGAATGGGGTAGTGAGACCAGTATTCGAAGAAGAAGAGGCTTACATGAGATAAACAGAGTTGCGAGTCTAGAAGCCAAGATAGATGCTAAACTGGATTCCAAGTTTGATGCACTCGAACGAAGGTTGGCCAAGATTGCTCTGGGTAGACAAGAGAAGGTTGCTTCATGTGAACTTTGCGAGGGTCCTCATCATAGGGATATGTGTCCACTGGGAGCTGCTCAGTTGGAAGATGTCCAATACATCAATAATCCGCGAAGTCAAGGCCAAGGTGGTATGTATTCAAATACGTACAACCCTCAATGGAGACATCACCCCAATATGTCATGGTCAAACAATAGTCCAGCTGGTGTTCGAAACATCCCACCTCCTGGTTTTCAACAGCAGCAGCCTCAACCAGAGAAGAAGCCCCAGCTGGAGGAGTTGATTTTGGCTCATATGCAGAAAACAAACAATAATTTCAAGGGCCTGGATCAATTTGTCACTCAACAGCTAGCCATCAACAATAATTTACAATCGTCTATGCTAGCCATGGAGAGGCAGATGGGACAGATGGCTCAAACTTTGGCAGATATGCAAGGCAGGATTCCTGGGACATTACCGGCTAATACCGAGAGGAATCCAAAGGATGCCATGGCTGTAGCAGTCACTTTGAGGAGTGGAAAGGCCTTGGAGGATCCAGAGAGTCCAAGGAAGTCGACAAAATCCGAAAAAGAAGGAGTTGTAGAGGTAGAGGATGAAAAATGTGCAAAAGCTGAAAAATCTGACTTACACAGGCAAACTGCATGCAATCTGCCTGTGCAAAAGCAAGCTGCCCGTGTACCTCAAAAAGTGGAAAAATTGAAGAATGAAGAGGTAAAGCCTTATGAACATCCCGCGCCATTCCCTCAAAGGTAAATGCAGCCCATGGAAGACTCGAACTTCAACAAATTTGTGAATCTCTTCAAGCAACTTCATATAAACATACCATTGGCGGAGGCAGTTGAACAGATGCCTACATATGCTAAATTCTTAAAGGAGTTGCTGACAAAGAAGCGTAAATGGGCTGATCTAGAGAAGGTAACCCTTACTTCTGAATGTAGTGCTGTGATTCAGAATAAATTACCAGAAAAGTGGGATGATCCGGGCAGCTTCACCATTCCATGTGTCATTGGAGGTACAGAATTCAATAAATCACTTTGTGATCTTGGAGCAGGAATTAATTTGATGCCATACTCAGTCTACAAGAAATTGGGATTGGGAGATGTTCTTTAGCCTACTCGGATCACTCTCCAAAAAAAAAAAGAATTTGCCATTAGGTTGAGCACAGCCAAACTGCATGCAGTTTGCCTGTGTAAAAAGCAGGCTGCCTTTGCAAAGCTAATGGCTAAAAAACACCTAAAAAATAGAAAAATAAAAAACAAAACCTTGTACTCTTGTGGTAACATGATGTAAATGACCGTGATGCTTTGAAATGAGTTTGTGCTTGAATGAAATCATCAAAATCACCCTAGTGTTGAATTGCATAGTTCTTCACAATGAGCTTGATGTTTTGACTGACTTGATATGCTTTGAATGAGCAACTCTTTTAGCAACATTCTCTTTTGTGAGGATAGTGTAATGACTTTTGGTGAAGTAGTTAGGTGGAGAACATTGACCATTCAATATGTTTGGATACCGTGCTTACTTGCATCAATTGTGAGTTGTTGACTTTGCAATGAGTCTCTCTGTTTTGAATGTTTTATGATGGGGTGAACTGTATCTTCATAAAAGAAAACACTACCTGACAAGTAAAATATAAGAAAGTTGCCATAATAATTAAAGTGTGGGTAAAAATGCCAAAATCGTGTGAGGCAATCACTCATTGCACATGGGGATTAGGAAAGATTCAATTGAGAATCGGTTCGCGACCGTACGATGTTGCTTATCAAGTACGATCCCCAGTTGAGTGAAGTGCCATTTGAGGATGCAATGACCCTCCACACGGACCGAGGAAAAGGAGTTGAAAGAAGCCCTTATGCGAGTGCTAAGAAGCAGAAATTGCTCTTGCTAGGTCACCAGTAGTAAGAAACAAATCCCACTTGTACTAAATACGAACTCTCGGCAAGCAAAAGCAAAAAGAGAGAAAGCCTCTCCTTGTCATAAAAGGTAGTGATGTGCTTAAAGTTAAAATCATGTTTGCGAAAGGCTTCCCCCATTAGTTTTTGAGACTCATGCTTAATTAATTGCTTATGATTGGTGTGAGTAAGCCAGACTGTCCTCACGAGATATGCACCTCACTGATGTGGTTAGATTCTCCTAATAATTGTTGCACCATAAGTTGTTAACCACCCACTACCGACGATCGAAATTGAGTGTTGCTATTTGAGTTTTTGATGGAGGACTTTTAAGTCGAAATTTCTTTAACGGACGATTTCTCTCACGTTTTAAGTCGAAATTTAATTTTTTTTTTGCACATATAAATCAGATTAAATGTGCTCTTTAAAATGATATCCACTTTGATATATTTTTAGTAAAAAAAATCGAATAATTTTTTACCAGTCATTACCATATGGTATGCTCCTATTTAATACCATATGGTAATAAAGCTTACCATGATGGTATGAACATACCAATATGGTAAGAAGGTTGAATACATTATAATAGGAGTATACTAACTGTTATTTACGACTTTCATCATTGTTTACTACAAGTTACCACCCACATACCATATTGGTAAAGTATGATAATTTTTTTATCTAGTATTTTTTTCACCCAGAAATTTATAGATCCCATAGATCATGATGAACTCGTTCCTTCTGAGCAAACGTTTTAAAAAATGACTTAAAAACGAAGAAGTTACCATGTGGTATGTAGTTGGTAAAAAAAGTTTCCCGAAATATATTGAAAATTGATCTCATTTTGTAGAGCACAACAAACTTGTTCCATCTAAGCAAAAAAAATTAAAATCCGAGTTAGAACGAAGAAGATAATAGTCGATAAAGAAAACTAGGAAAAATAAAATGTCTTTAATTGAAAACCATTAGATATGAATTTTCTGGACCCACTTAGATCTAAAGGTCCAGATTTAGTTACTCATAGGTCAGTAACCAATGATTACTGACCCTATCGTAAGCCCCCTTTTCCCACTCATTACCTCCACTTCCTCCCTCTTCACGTTTGGGTTAATCTCCACCCCAACTCCCCATTCATTACAAGCATAGAAGCAATTCGTTTGTTGCCCAGCGAAGAATGGACAACAAATCGTCGGCACCCCATACGACAGACTCTCGATTGTAGAGTTCCATCCCATGTGGCTCAAGAACCCATCAACCGAACTATGGTTCTGAATTTGCTCCTGAGAGCACCAATCCACCAGCAAGAATCTGTCTTTTGTTTCATCCAAGAAAGAGTGAGGTAGAGCTCCAGAATCGCCGAAGACAAGGTCGGGCCTCACGACCCATAAGAAGGGCTTCTCACTCCTTGCCAGCCCCCACGCAAACTCGCTAAGCTGGTTGGGTGTCATCACTGTGATGCTACCGAAATTCAGGTGGAGAACGGAGTTTGGCTTTTGAGCGTTCAACCATTTGACACACTCGGGATGCTATGTCCATAGATTTATGTTGATCTCCTTGAGCTTGTTGTCTTTGGGGACCTGATGGAGGAGCAGGTTGAGCGGACCGATGGTTAGGAGATTTTGTGAAAGTGGGGACAAAGCTGTGTGTGCCTCGTGTTCTAAGGGCTGGAATGTGTTGAGTAGGACGGCAGATCCCTGTGGGAGCTTTGAGATTTCATTCTGCACGTAATTGAACATGATGTCGTCCGGATCCTATAGAAAAGCTCCTTGAGCTTAGGGTTTTTTAGAGGAAGGAGAAGAAGAAAGTAGGCGGTATGAATTGGGAAAAACCCACAAGGAGATCTCTTCTCCATCATTTCATATATATATATATGAGTTTGAGGTGTAAACTACAAGCAACAGTAAAATTGGAAATAGAAGTTAAACTGAAATTCAAAATAAAACAGTAAAATGAAGGCAAATGTCTTCTTCTCGTTGGCTCGTCATAATTCGACCCAACCATAAAAGTCCAGACTCCACGACGCCGCGTTTTGTCCATCGTTTGGGAGGACACATAATTCTCTTGAGGGATTATTGCTTGGGACAGAACCAAATTGGGCCAGAGGAAAAATCTATTTTGGAACAACCTTGGCATAAACGTACAAACAAAGAAATTAAAAGACTCGGAGACCAAACAAATCTCGTCTAAGACCGCTCCACAAGTCCCATGCGCCACATCCGGTCTTGAATCCTGCGAATTAGGAAGAAATTCTCTTAAGAAAAAAGGATCAAAGGAATTTGCACACAGCCTCTCCGATTTTTCCCGAGAACCATACAGAATTCTCTCTCACCGGGAGGGAGATTTTATCATGGTCAAGTGAATCAGGATCCAAATTGAAGTGTGAATCAGGATCCTCAGCCGTCCCGGGATTCCGGTGCCGTTCGCTGAACCTGCCGGCGACCACGCCGTTCTCATCGGAGATAGATACAGGTCCAATCACACGAAACTTTACCGCCAGAAGCCCACCGTCATCATGAAGGAGAGGGTCAAGCGCTACTGGAAAAATCTCTGTCGGCGGACGGAGGATTCCTCGACCATCTCCAAGTCAAGCAGAAGAGGTGGTACTTCGCCAGGCTCAGCGTCGTGATGTTGATGGCGGTGAAGGGGTCGACGAGAGGGTGGATTCCGATGAAAAGGATTGGGGACAGTCATTCAAGGTGATCATTGGCGATGGGGACCGTCACTGACGAACTCACCGGCGAGTTTAGCCATTGATGACTACGATGCGCAATTTGCGTCACCGCACCTGTAAAAGGTAATTGCGATAATAATTAAGTTTACGAATCAGGATCTTTTTAAATTAATTAATTCCTTTCTTAATTATCACCATTATGATTTCCGTTGCTAGTTATTAGTCTTTACTATTCCCTTAATTTACGTTCTCATCAATAATTATCTTTTAGTAATCTAATTAATTTTCCTTTTATATTTATGACTGATATGAGTTTGTCATTATTGACATTGCTTTGTTTGAACTTTTGATAGTCATTTATTTGGTTTTAAAGTAGGAATACATGTTCAAATTACTAATTTATTTCCTTACTTTTTAAGTTAATGGTATAAACGGATTCCTCATATTGTGTTTAATTATTATAGTAAATATTTATTAATATTTTGCACTGATTGACTATAATGTACAAATCTTTGAAGAGTTTGAATTATATCGTTAATGGTATATTTTCGATAATATCGACTTTGTCGTAAGGGCGAGATTTAATCTCTTATAATAGAGATTTCTAGCACCATAGTCGTGCCTTTTTATTAGTCATTTGCAGGTGCTCATCTGGTATGAAAATAATTGAAGGACGTGCAATAATCTTCATCGATCTATCAGGAAACTACACTCGCTTGCGGGACTATTTTGGAGATGTTTGGTTTTTATTTTTGTTTTTTCCCGGTCAGTGTCGTGTCTTTGCTCCTCGGAGCTTCTTCAGAGCTGCCCAAGTAGTGGCTTTGCAAGCTCTTTCATCGTAGTCTGGTTGCATACGAACTGTCGCGCAGTGTTTGAGTTGGTCAAGTAATCGTGTCGAGTCTTTGTCCCATGCCCTTTGGGCTTGCATTGGAAAAAAAATCTCTTTTGGAATAGGGAAAACAGCTGGCGATTGGGGGAGGCAATTAATTGGTGGCTTTTGTTGTTTGAAAACAAGTCTCTGGGGGAGAAGAAATAAGAATTAAAGCAAAAGGGGGAACAAGTCGGAGGGCGAACAAGGGAGTTGAAAAAAAGAAAAAAGAAAGGCGGAACTCAACTGGGGACAACTTCTTGGAATGGCGGCGGAATTCTTTTGGAGGAGGCAGCAGCGAGCAGCAGTAGCAGCGACGATTAGCGGGAGAAAATCAGAGACTGAGCGTTCTTGCACAATTCGTATTTTCTGCCCTCATCGTTATTCGTAACATGATGATTATGAACATGATTGTTTGTTTTATTTTCGTCATGAACTAAACCCCAATTTCTGGGGGAAACACCATAGGATGTAGCTATTTCTTGATTTGATGGATTGATTCATGATTCTTTTCTTCCAATCTCTATTGCATGAAATTGCTTAATGCTTTGTGTTGACTGGCCACCAATACAATGATTTGTAGTTAATTAGGTTATTAGCGACAGTGAAACCCTAATAATTGAACCTATTTCATGTGACATCGTAACTTATCAAAGCGACAGTGGATTAAATAAGGTGCTATGCGGTCTTAAATAGGATATCGATCTTCAGACTATATAGTTAATTCATTGAGCTACGACAGTAGGATTTGAATTGATTATTTAGTACGTAGTAATTCCCGACAGGGATAGCTAGCACATTCGTGATATCCTGGCTGTAGAGGTGTGGATTAAATTGATTGGAATATGTGAATTAATCTGGATAGGATAGGTAGTGAATCCCGGTGTTTCTCCCAGAGCTTTCTCCATTGAATTTCTCCCGACCATTTTAATTTGCTTGTTTTGTTTAATTATTTTGCTATTAGATAATAATTTCATCAACCAAACCATTTTCACTTATAGTTTGCTCCATAGAATTGATAGAAATTAAGGTTGTACCAGTCCCTAAGAGATGATACCCGGACTTTCCGGTTTACTACGAGATAGGAATTGAAGCTATACGCTTTTGCCTTATCACCCAACCATACACTTATGACTTAACCAAACACCACAATAAATATAATGATTTTTAGTATGTGATGGTAGCTGCAGTTTGGTATAAATAAGGGACTTGTATGAGGCATGTAAGTGGACTAATTGATAGTGAGGGTAGAAACAGAGCAATAGAATAAGAGCCGCCATTCTTAATGTAAAAGGTAACAATTGCTTACATATTGTTGTTTAAAAATGTTGGAGAGAAATAATTTTTCCTTCTTGATTTTCGTGCATTAAAATCGCACAATATTTTCGCTTTGTTCAACAAATTTGATATTAAAGCCGATATAATTTTTCTATCCTTCTAAACTAGCCCCAATATTTCTTATCCATAAAAATTCCCAATCACCATAGCAACAACCAAAGCGAGCACAATGTTCGCAAATACCCCAAGGCAAATTCCAATTTTTAAGGGTGAACTCTACTTACTAGAGTGAACAAGTGAGGAGAATCTTCATTGCTCAAAAGATTTGTTAGATATCGTCCAAGAATGTTACGAGGCACCAAAATGTAAAATATAAAAAGTAAATGCACTAGACTATAATTTAAAAAATATATAAATCCACCAATCCAATAGGTTTTGAATCAAATAAATTGGATTTGTTGGATATTTTGGTAGATGCATTGGATTTGATTCATGGATTTGGATACTACTTAACACCTCCATATTCCATTGGGGACCATTTTTTATCGCAATGAAGTAGTCGGGCAGGGTAAAGCGTGGGAGCAGCTCAATGAAAGAAGAGTCTGGTCTGATATGAGTTCAGGCTCATCTGCTGCTAGGTTCGAGAATGGCGCTAGGCGAGGGCGCCACAGTTTTCAAAAACTCGGGTCGTTCAATGATGCTCAAGGTTGTCAATCCGCAGGTTGACCCGGACCCGGTCGAACTAGTGGGTCAAGGGTTAACGGGTCACTTGTTTTAGCCCTTTTTACCTCGAAATATGGAAAGAGTCATTATATTATACTTATCTTGATAAATTATATCAAATCTCATCTAAATAACATATAACATTACACCAAAGTAACATGTCGTACTTAGAACCAACATATAGTGAAATTTTTTCTTCTTCGTTGAATCAGTTGCATTTGTATTACCAAACCTATATGCAATGTACATATAGAAACCGATACAACGAAAGGGCAACTTCATGTGAGTAACCCTGCATAAAAGGAACTTCAAAGACCCCCCCACCTTCCTACATCAGACACCCCTCAACCCATAAATCCAGCAGCACTATGGTTTGCCTGTAAACTGCTATCCACACTACCCAGATACATTAAATCAGAAACTATTAACCTACCAATATCAATAGCATCCCTGGGAGTAGGGGAGGGCAAACAACCGAAACCGAATTAAACTGAACCGAAACCGAAATAATGTTATTCGGTTCGGAATTCGAAAGGAAAATATAGATATTTCGGAAACCAAGGTTCTTTCAACCGAACCGAAATTTCGAAATTCCGACCGAAAAACCGAAATACTACAATTGCAACCTCCAAATGGTGGATTTTTATATTTGTAGTTGTTTTAATACTTATATATTTGAAATGTTGTATGACTTATGTGTTGAAAATTTTGATTTTATCATTGATTATGCATATAATTGCATAATATTGTTTATATTAGGAGTGAAAAATAATTTAAAAGTGAGAATATACAAGTAGCCTCACAAATTCGGTTTTGTGTTAAAAGCCGAACTGAATTATAATTTGGTACGAATTCGGTTTGAGGTTTGGGAGAATTCGGGGACCTGATATTCATAATTTCGGTTCGGT